GTCTGCCTGTGAGCTGCAGCACGACGGCAGCTGCTGCTGGAGATAAGATTGCTGCTGTGTCCATTTAAGCTTTCTCAGTGTTTCCAGGGTACAGGCCTTCAGAGTCTTTGGTCACGCTTTATCAGTGACTCAGATGGCTCTGTTTAACCAAACTCTCCTTATTACATTTGCCACTGTCACAGGTTTGGGGTTTTTTTTCCCCTATTTGTGAAAATTATCATCCTCTTTTCTTCCTGATTTTTTTATTTTCCTTGTTCTAAAAATGTAAAATAGAGCTGGGGTGAGAACTGGTCAGTTTCCAAAGAGAGAGAGAGAAATCTGAAGTCCATACGTCTCCCATCAGATTGTTCAGTACCTTTACAAGTTGAGCAAGTTATTGCCTTCTCAGACTTAGTCCTGTTTAAACATCCCCCAACAATATCAATTAGTATTACTAAGTGCCCCAGTGTTTGCATCCTGCACCATTCCTTCTGATACTTTGCTATCAGTGACAGACTGGAGAAGAACAGTCATGAACAGCCAGAGTAATTTAGGTTGGAAGTACCCCTAGAAGCCTCTGGTCGAAGCTCTCACTCAAAAGCATGACAACCTTAAAGCAGACACTACATCCAAGGTCATGTTTTATATTGGCCTATTCATCTCAATCTTGAATATATGTACTTTATTTTTAATACTAATGTGTTCAGGTTCTGTTGCCAAGCACTGGGGTTAATTCTGGCTATGCCAGGAGTTTAAAGGGCCTTCTGCTAGAAGACTTCTCGTGGATGCTTTCTCTGGACATACTTGTTTGTAGAAGATGTTGCTGTATGTCTCCTTCTTCTCCTTAGATTAGATCGAGCCTCTTTCGTCTCCTGCAGTAAATTATGTCAGCTGGGGAGGTACTGGGGACTTCCAGGGCTGCCTCTGGGAGAGCTTTGAGTACCTCCATGGATGGAGGTGCCACAGGTTCTCTGGGACCCTGTGCCAGTGTTTGACCACTCTCACAGGGATGGGGCAGAGTCCTAATATCTACTTGGAAGTTTTCTTCTTGTAGCTTTTGCTTTTTCTATCTTTTGCTTCTTTCATTGTGTGCCTCTGTCTTCTCTACACCCTCCTGTTTGGCAGCTGCAGGCAGCAAAAGGTCTTTGCCTTCTCTTCTACAGGCCAAGTGAACCCAGTTCCTTTAGTGTCTCCTTGTATGTCCACACGGTCGTTGTAGTGGCATCTGTGGGACTCAGCCCAGTGTGCGTCTTTCTTGTGATGGGCAGTCCCAAACTAGACACTGCACTCGAGACGTGGCCCCGCAAGAGCCAAACAGAGAGGAAGGATCACCTCTCTCAAGCTGCTGGCTGCACTCTTGCTGACACAGCCCAGCCTGTGGCTGGCCGCCTTAGCCAGAAGGGCACCCTGCTGACCTCCGTTCACCTCTTCATCCTCCAGGACTCCCCAAGTCATCTTCTGTGAAGCTGCTTTGTAGCCACCATCCCTAACCTGTGCTGATGACACAAGAGCATTTTTGCTGAGGCTGCTGTCTACCCCTTCCTCCAGCCTTTCAGGGTCCCCCTGAATTGCAGCCGTGCCCTCCAGTGTATCAGCCGTTCTGAAGAAGAGAGGAAGGAAAGGGAAGAGCAGCCCCTCTGCCCACCTGACTGTGGAGGTACCTCTCCATTCCCCATCCCATGGATGGGGCTGTGGAGCTTTCTGAGCAAATCGGTCTCTCTGCGAGCCAGAGCTACCCCTTCCCACTGGCACAAGGCTCTCCAGCCCTGGTGTGTGTCTGCCCTGGGATGAAGCCAGCCACGAAGTGGTGCCGGGTTAACCATTAACTCCCCATTCCCAGGCTTGCTGGCACAGGGCTTTGTTTTCAGGGCACGGCGGAGCTGCTCGGTTTGGCCTTCCCGGTGACGCCCTGGTGATGTTGTGGCATATGGGCAACACAAGGGAGGGTGGCCCAGGAGCGGGGAGTGGTGGTGGTGGTGGGGAGGGAGGGGACGGGCACGTGGCCAAGGGACCAGGCAAATAGGTTGTCACCCTGCCGAGGGAGGGAGACCCTTCAGGAGGGGTGGCGGGGCGCCCGCTGGCAGCCGGCACCGTCTCCTCCCCACGTCCTGCTCCTTGCTTCTTGGCACTATGAGATGGGAAACTAAGTGTTTCCTCTGCAGAGAGCTCCACGGAAGTGCTGTTTCCTCCTTCCCCTCAAGTTTGTTGTAGTCCTTGCATACACTGGGACATGCCTCAGGCCCAGGACAATGCTAATTCTGCGTGCCAAAGAGGGACTCCCAGCAGCCATTCTGCCATCCCTGGAGACATCCAGGGTCAGGCTGGATGTGGTTCTGAGCAACCTGATCTAAATGAAGACATCCCTGCTCATTGCAGGAGGGTTGGACTGGATAGCCTTTGTAGGTACCTTCCAACACAAACCATTCCATGACTGTGGTCCACTCAGGTCTCCCTCCCAGATGCTCCCTGCCAAGCACAGAGGGGCTTTTTCCTCCATGGAGTGTGTCAGAGCGTGCCTGGGTGTTATGGTCACTGCTCACTGACAGTGGCAGCAAGGAGGGCTGGGGTGGCCATCCCCTGGGCAAGTGTGTGGCAGCCAAGGGTGACAACAGCTTTTAAAACAGGAGGGAGAACCTTGAACCTCCACTGGCACCGGTACGTGTGAGGACAACCCAGGCAAAGAGCTTTGCTGAGCAGCCTGTGCTGCAGGAGGAATGTCGGCAGCAATGAGCAGTGCCCACTGGCATGGCTGTGAGCTAGGGGTGAGGGGGCTTGCCCCCACCCCAGTGGCCACCAAATGGAGGGGGGGGTTGCATTTTCTATTTGCCAGGTCTTGTTCATGGTTGCTGAGGCGTCTTCAGGAGACAGTGCTGAATGGAGAGGTGTCTGCTGCACAGGCTGGCTGCGTGCAGGGACCTGCGTCGTGCCCATGCATCAGCTTCCACAGCCCAAGACCTGCATGTGCTGCCTGTTGAGCGCTGGGTGAGGGTCTGCTGTTTGCTGTGCACACGCTGCCTGTGCAGGCCAGCAGTGGAGGCCACTTCCTTCCCTCGGTGACTGGGAGCAGGCTATTTTTGGAAACCCTGTATAAGCAAACTAAATGGACTGTGGCTCTTTTATGCAGTTTCTTTTCCCCTAATTTAGCGCTCAGGAATGTATTTAATTAAAAAGTTATTTATAGAAACATTTATAGTTAACTTACCCAGTAAGAACATTTATATTCTGAGCTCTTACCGTGATTTTCAATATGTTTTTCCTTCAGGGTGAGATTGCCTCTGTTCAAAGAAACGGGAACTCACCAGGAATATACAAGGTGTTCAAGACCACGCCATTCACTCAGACAAAGCAAAGCTTTCACCTAAAAGGAATAAGAAAGAAACATGGCAGAATTCACGGGTTACAAGGAAACCTCGAATCGGCACCTGCGATTCAAACTGCAGAGTCTTAGTCGCCGCCTCGATGAACTGGAGGAAGCAACCAAAAATCTGCAGAAAGCAGAGGATGAGCTGCTTGACCTCCAGGACAAAGTTATCCAGGCAGAAGGCAGCAACTCCAGCATGCTGGCTGATGTGGAAGCCTTGCGGAAAAGAGTGCTGAAGATTGAAGGTAAGGATGAAGAAATTAGGAAGGCTGAAGAGCTTTGCCGGTTAATGAAAGAAAAACTTGAGGAGGAAGAGAGCCTCACCCGAGAGTTGAAGTCAGAAATCGAGCACCTGCAGAGGAGAATGGCAGAGCTGGAGAAGCTGGAGGAGGCCTTTGGCAGGAGCAAGAATGACTGTACACAGCTGTGTCTTAGCCTCAATGAGGAAAAGAACTTGACCAAAAAGATATCAACGGAACTAGAAGTGCTTCGAGTAAAAGTGAAAGAACTGGAAGCATCTGAGGACAGGCTGGATAAGACCGAGCAGAGTTTAACGGGCGAGTTAGAAAAACTGAAATCCTTGGCGCTGAGCTTTATCACGGAGAGAAAACACTTCAATGAAAGAGAAAAGCAGAATGAAAAAATCATCCAGGAGCTAACACAGAAACTAGAACAAAACAATAAACTAAATAGGGCAGATCAAACTAGGAATGCATCCAACTTGCTAGAAAGGTCATCAAATAATCTTCTAGACAGAAATGATTTGAGAATTGAAGATGACTTGACTTCTGCGTTGCCCTCTAAGGAGACCAGGAGGAAGGGAAGTGTGGATTACCTGAAACATGTAGAAAATGAAACCAGGAATAAGTCGGAAAACCAAAAGAATAAAAATCAGGAAGACAACAAAGTGAAAGATCTCACCCAAGAAATCGAGAAACTTAAAACTCAGATAAAACGATTTGAATCTTTAGAAGAGGAACTTAAAAAAATGAGAGCCAAAAATAATGACCTCCAGGACAGTTACTTGAGTGAACAGAATAAAAACAAACTCTTAGCGGGTCAGCTGGAAGAAATAAAAATGCAAATAAAGAAACAGAAGGACCTGGAGAATGGAGAGGTTGAAAATGAAGAGACAAGCTTTGCTAGCAGGGGGAAACATGACAGACCTAAATACAGGGGTGTCATAGCTGACTTGACAGCCGCCAAGCACAAGCCGAGGGAGCTCTCACCGCAGCAGCGCCGGGAAAGAGCAAGGAACAGAGATTTCTCTGTCAGCAACGACAGCTATAGCCACGGTGGTAAGCAGGTGCCCAGTCCAAGCTTAACAAACAGGAAAGCAGGAAAAGCATCAGGTGCATCTCTCCTTTCAGACGCTGCCATGACAGATACAAAAAGACTGGAAGAGAAATCTTCAGTTTCCACTTTTTCTTCTGTTCAGAGGGAAGGCTGCGTCCCCCAGAACGAGGGGAAGAGATCAAAAGAGCAGCCGTCTGTCCTGAGCCGATATCCCCCTGCTGCACAGGAGCAGAAATCTTGGAAAGCACCTTCCAAGCCTGTTGGTGACACAGGCCTGAGATCCAAAGCTGAGAAGCCATCTCAGGTGCTCCGTGGCAACGGAGCTGACGCACGGGATGAGAAGTCAAACAAAGGAGAATCAGTGGCTGCTTTGGCCGAGAAGCTGAAAACAAGTCAGGCAGAAGTCAGTGACTGCTCGGGGGACACACTGCTCACCAGGGGTAACCACACTTCTTCCAATGGCACAGCTTCAGCATACAAGTACCAGCTCTCCTCCCATGTGTCAGCATCTGACTCTAAAGTAGAAGCAGTGAACGCTTCTGCTGCATCACACAGACAGCCTTCGGAGGGGAGGGCTAAAAGAGCCATCATCTCCCAGGAAAGAGACTTTGCAGACACATCACTGGAATGTGCGAAGCCTTCAACGCTAACAAAGCGTTCCCATCACTCCAGGAGTCAGGAGGACATGCTGCAGGTTGTCACGGCTCTCGACAAAGAGGACACGGAGCAGTCTTCGACTTCAGTGACGGATCGTGTAAATGCTGGTTTAAAAATGGACTCCAAAACCATCCAGAGTAACCAAGAAAAGCTTAATTCAGATGAAGAATCAGGGAGAAGCAAGAAACCAACCACTCAATCAGATTTTGAAACAAGAAGGAAAGTAAGTTCCAAGCAGTTCTCCAATTCCAGGGGAGTTTTTAGAGCATCGCTTTTTGAAAACGACAAACCCACTGTAAATGATGAAGACCCCACTAAGTGCATAAAACCATCCGATGCCAGCACGGGAGGACTGAAATCCAGAAGGTCGTTCAGCCCAAGAGAAGCTCTGAGATCAAAAGCTGTCATTAAACCTGCAATTGTTGAAAAGGATATGAAGGCAGTCATGGGAGGAACTGTTCCTGAGGCTGAGTCAGAAAAGCAAAAGTCCGTTTTTAAAACAGTAACTAATAAAATGACAAGCAGCATCACAATCTTCCCCTCTGAGCCAACAGCTCCAAGAACCAGTGCAGATTCAGCAGCAAAGGAAAGACATGTTACCACCAGCAACATCAGAGTTGCTCCAAATGAACCGTCAGCAGTAACAAACAATCTCCCCACGCCAGTCGAGATATCAATTAGTAAAAGTGCTCTGAAATCATCTGAGACAGACAGAACTGGAGAGACAGCGCCGAGAAGTAAAGCAGAAACAGTGGTCTCCAGAAGCAGCATTGTGATAAAGACTTCTGAGCTCACCGAGAAGAACAGTGAGCCACCTTCAGAGACAATCAGCTGGAAGAGCCACGGCTCTTCAGATGCAGTTTCATGCGAAACAAAACATGTCACTGTGAGAAGTTCCTGGAGGACAAGACAAGGCTTACATTCCCTGGAGAGAAGTGCAGCTTCCAGCACTACAAACAGGTGTATGTCCTCAGTGGACCTCTCGGAAACGGAAGGAAACAATGCAAGAACAAACTCCCTGGAGCAGACCTCAGCAAGGACCAGTGTCACGGCTGACTCCTGGAGCACCCCTGAACTGGGATCCCGAAGGACCAAAAGTAACCTAAGTGCATCTGAGCTGCTAACACGCAGGAGCTGTGCAAGTGATCCTCCAGCAGCTTCTGCTTGGCACCGGACCACCCTACCTGTAAGTATCCTGTGCCAAACCCTCTTGTCTGTCACCAGTTGATGAGGTTTTCCAAGCTGCCTGTTAGTTGTAGGGTGCCTGATTTGAAATTCTTGCAGCTTATTTCCTGAAGTGCTTCCATCTTCCAGCTTCTGGTACCTTCAGTGGAATATCTCAGTGTGAAGTACCTGATTTAGACTTCTTGAAGTTAGATCCATCTGTTTGGGTCTTGTAATGCCATATGAGTAACTGTATAGTAGCATTTGGTCTTGCCCGAAAACATAGCTACATGCAGGACATGGTGTGCTTTTCAGAGTGGCTTTGTGTGGCACTTTCAACTTGAAGTAGTAATGAAAGGATTATGGAAAAGAGCAGGTTTTAATAGGGTTGTGCCTCAGGCAGAGCTGTGGCTGTAACAACAGCTGTAGACATACAGCTCCTTTTGGTAAGAGCTGCATGGTTTCTTCATGTGAAACCAGACTCTGGTCTGGAAATGCTTCCGAGGCATCTCCTAAATAGATGAGTGCTGGCTGGTTACACAGGGCTGCTCCCTCCCTGGTCTGTGTCAACGTGCCACCTGAAAAGGAGCAGGAGGCTGTGCTCTTTTCCTGTTCCTTTGGCTGGTACCAGTGAGGGGAGTCCCTCAGAGCAGGGCTGACACACACAGATGGTTGGAGCTGTACTTGCCACCGGAGCTGCAGACTCAGGCTTATTTCAAGTGAGCTCATGGGCACCATTAAGGCCATTAAGCCACATGCCAGCTCCTGCTGCAGCTCCTGCCTCTGCTCTTCACTTAGAGCTGCTCTAAGCAGCTGCTGCTGTTGCCAGTCTGCAGGAGGAGCCCAGCTAAACCATCTGAAAGGGCTGGTGATAGAGGGGCCAGATTCATAACTCAGTGACTGGCATTGACAAAGAAGAGGTGGTGGAGATGTGAAAGAAGTTTTACATTTGCCAAGCTTCTCTTCCACTTCTTTGGCAATGAGAAGCCCAGGATTTGCTCCATTGCTTTGCTTTGTACAGAGTCTGTTGCCAGGGGTGTTACAAAGTGCAGGTTGGCCTTCCAGCTACATTTGGACGCAGAACACATCATCTCTCTGGCCAGGGTCACTCGTGGTCCCAGGCAGTCTGTAATTCTTTCATGAATCCAGGCAGAACTGACATGACTGAGGTTGTCCTTTTGCTAACAACAGCTTTATGTGCTTGGGAAATGGGAGATCCATCCCTGGGTCTCCCTTTATGCCAGGAGTTTAAATTCCCAGCACCCACAGCATTGAGACTCAGAGGTCACCACTTGCAGCAGAGCTCATGTAGGGTCAGTCATGGAGCCTGACATGATGGGCACTCACATATTTCTTTCCCATCTTCCCCCTAGCAGCCCACCCAGGGCTGAGTGTAGCTCTGCAGTACGTTCTTCAGGTGCTCTTGAGGTAACTGTCATGTCCAATGTGCCTCCAACAGCAGCTGAGGGGAACCTGGCAGAGCAACCTCATCTCTGTGTGGTCATCCTGGCTATCAGGGTAAGCTGGCTTCCAGCCTTGCCCCGTCTGCAGTGACAAGCAGTCAGGAAGGTGACTGTGTGGTTCGTTCATGCAGGGCTGGAGCGTACTGAGTTGGGTATCTCTGTATCATCCTCTGAAATAAAGTCACCCTGACACCACGGTCACAAATTTGAATTCTTGGTCAGAAATTAAGTGGATTTTTAACTTGTAAATAAGCAGCATGAAGTTACCCTGAAAGATTGCAGATACACAGATAGACCAGATACAGCAAATCTTATGTATCTGGGCAGCTCAAAGGATTGCTTATGGCCTTGGAAAAAAACCCAAAGCATCTGCATTTGAAGAGTATCTTCAGGCTTACAACATGCCTCATATCACAAGCAGCTTGTTTCTGCTGGGATCTGTGTTTCAGTGGAAGATGTAGCTATTGCTGTGGCAGAAGGCTTGGCACTGATCTATGCTGACTTTGCACATTTGCCTTTCCTGTAAAGGCATCACTTGTCGCCTCTTCCCAGCTCCACTGTCCAAAGTCCGAGATTGCCTTAAGAACCCTACCTGGAAACTGTGCTGGTTCTGCCAAAATACACCTTCCTCTCCTCCGTGAAACACCATGTCTGATAGCAGGAGGTAGCAGCAGGTCCTAACAGCACCTGGGCTGCAGGCGCAGCAGCTCTTGGAGCGCTGCTTTGGGAGACCCAGAAGGCGGCAGTTGCGGACGGATGGATGCTGCAGCCTGGGGACCAGCGCCCTCTAGTGCCTGCAGCCGGGCTCTCCTTTCTCAGGAGGAACTGCAAGACCTCACGCTGCATAAATAAGCTAAACCCCTAAAGGTTGGCTTGTCTTCGAGTGAGGCTGTGCTTAACCTGCTGGGAAAGTCTCCCTGACAGTATCCAGCGATGTGCTGCCTCTTGCCCCTTCTCTCCTCTGCTTTAGGGACCAATACAAAGTGCATCCATCACCATTTCACCCTTGCTGACTCCACATAAGCATCTACTTAAGCAGCTCACCGCAGTCTTGCCATGGGCTTGTCAGTGGCCAGCTGATTGTTCTTTGGGGTGCCATGAAGCATCCCCAGGCTCTGGGGCAGTACCTGGAGGTCCTGGTCTGCATCAGCAACACATGGAGGGTGGCCACCCTGGTGGCCCCGGCTCAGCTCTTTACCTATGAAACTCTTTGAGACCAGTGTATCTGAGTTGATAGCCACAAAGTCATGATGCCTGACAGCTGAGATGGACTGACACTGTCACTTGCCCAGGGGCATGGAACTCGTATGTGTTCAACCAGTGACCTCACCTCTAAAGACAGCTGCTGTATCAGAAACACAGCAGTGCCTCAGCCCTTGCTAAGCTGTCAATCCATCAATCATAGACTCACAGGGTGGTTTGGGTTAGAAGGGGCCTTAAAGCTCCTCCAGTTCCAACCCCTGCCCCAGGCAGGGACACCTCCCACTAGAGCAGGTTGCTCCAAGCCCCTGTGTCCAACCTGGCCTTGAACACTGCCCGGGATGGGGCAGCCACAGCTTCTCTGGGCACCCTGTGCCAGCGCCTCAGCACCCTCACAGGGAAGAGCTTCTGCCTCAGAGCTCATCTCAGTCTCCCCTCTGGCAGGTTCAAGCCATTCCCCTTGTCCTGTCCCTACATCCCTTGTCCAAAGCCCCTCTCCAGGTTTCCTGGAGCCCCTTTAGGCACTGGAGCTGCTCTCAGGTCTCCCCTTCAGGAGCCTTCTCTTCTCCAGGCTGAACAAGCCCAACTCTCACCAACCAGACCCCTAAAGAGGCCGAAGTCTAATCTCTTGCAGTCAGGGTAGTGACTTTGCTGCACACCCTTCTTGCTGCCCTAAGAATCCCAAACTCCACCATTTCATGGTCACTCCAGTCAAGGCTGCCCTCCAGCTTCACACTCCCCACCAGCCCCTCCCCGCTGGTGAGGACAAGGTCCAGCATAGCCCTTCTCCCTGATGGTTCCTCTCTTGCTTGGAGAACAAAGTTATCATCAGCAATTCCAGCAACCTCGCTGGCCCCTCATGGTTACCTCTGGCCCATGGTTGGTTGGAAGTCCCTGTGGGACTGTCCCTGTGTTGTGCCTATTCACCAAGGTGTTACTGCTGCTCACATCTCACTTCTGTTGTAGGGGCTGGGTCACAAGGAGAGGGGTCGGGTGCAGCGTTTGCTGGATGTCACCCACAACAGGGCCAGCTCAGGGTGGATGTTTGCCCAACCAGCCCCACCAGCTGCCTCAGCTTCCCTCTGAGAGCGCACCAAAGCCTGGTGTCCATCTCAGAGATGCTTTTGTGCCAGCCACCTCTCCCTTCCCTGCTGTCCCATTTGCCACAGGACTAAATCTGCTCTGCCACTGCCCACATCCCCCTCACGGGGCCGTGT